GTCCGGACTTCGATCGTCCGACGCACGAGTGCATCGACATCGGTCGCGAGCGGTAGGCGACGTCGCATGCGCTCACAATGTGGGCTTCGAGCGCCTCGGCCAGCGCCCGCATTGGCGTCCGCATCGGCGCCGTGAGCACTTGTGCCAGCAGCGTCCGCGACATGCTCTCGCTGCGCCAAAAGCCCCTACCCGACGCATGGATTCGGACGAGGAGACATGGAAGGTTTACAAGGCGTCGTCGGCCAGGTTGCGCAGCTGACAGAGCTCGCAAGTGTCCGCCATGCCTTGCGCCCCGCGGCCTTGGCCGAGCGCTTGGTCGCGCCGAAACCAGCGCTCTTCGCGACCGAGGACCGCCCGGCGGTTCATCCGTCGACGGCCGTGGTCGCAGGCGCCATACCTACATCAGCACGTCGAGCGATGCTCCAACTCTGGTGGTGTAGAAGTACGCTTGGAGAAAGGCGCCACCGATGTGCTGCCAGTTGCGCGTGGCGACGCTCTGGGCAAAGGTGACGAGGCTCGTAAAGTCACGGATCGCACGGGCATAGACGTCTTGGGCTTTGGCCATCCAGTCGGATCGTCCGAGCACTTCGGGCTTGCTAAAGCGCATGTCTCACGTTGACCCGACCGCCAGCCCATGCACGTACTGAAGGTCGACCCAGCGCTCGTATGTGCCAAGGCGGGACGCGGCTTCGCTGAGGCGCAACTGACTCGCATCGGCGAGCGTTGCGTTGATACTGTCGGTTGTCCACGCCGCCGCTATCCACGCTGTGTCAGCCACGACGAGAGGGCCGCGTACAGACGTAGGAAGGTCGGGAGACGGTTCGCAATGTCCGTGGCGGTCGGCGGTAGGCATAAGGTGGCGGCGACCAACGGAGGCAGCGCCGCGACCAATTCGTGCAAGGGCGATGTCTGTTGCTGCACGAGCCGCGCGATCTGATCGGTGAAATCTTCGCCGCCGAGGTACTCTGCAAAGATCTTGCGCCACACAAACTGCGGCACGTGCACGGACCGCAGCGCCAAGACGGTCTTGTGGACCTCGTGGCGGCACCTAGGTAGGGTTAGGGTAGGGCGAGGGGTCGGAAACACGGCGTAGTACGGGACGGACGTCGGGCGCGCAGCCAGCTCCCGCATGGTCCAGAGCAGTCGCAGTTCGAGACCGCTCGGGACACGAAAGAGACGTGCATGGCGGCGCAGCAGCTGGTACCCGATTGGCGCGAGCGCAGACGGGCAGTCGAGCGCGCGGTGCAAGCAGGCTTCGAGCGCAGCGATACACGCATCCGAGCGCCATCGCACGAGATCATCGAGGAGCCGGTCAAAGTCTTTCGTGGTCGTGTTGAGTGCGACGTGGCAAGCGCCCTTGCAGAGCTTGAGCGTCGACGGGTGCGACAACATGCGGCGAAGACTGGCCAGCGGCAGCAGCGACTGCTGTCCACGCATCGAGCGCACCCGCTTGGCCACCTCTTTTGTAAAGCTAGTACCATATATCGCGTAAGGGAATCGGGCTCGATGGGAAAGAATGCTATACCGATCGTAGTCGGGCTGGTACGCGGCAAACTCGAGGGCCGACATGTGTACGACACGGACGGGCAGCTCGGTTTGACGCGGCAGGATCTGCAGCGTTTCGACTGCGTAGGTGCTCGGCGTCCGCCACACAATGTCTTGCAACAGCGCTTGCATGGACGTGACATGGGCCGCATTGCTCGGGTTGATGTGGCTCCAATACGCTGGCGCGTCAAAGGGCGGGAGGGCGAGGTACTTTGCGAGCCCTAGTGGACGGAAGTTAGAGCTGTATCGGCGACGAACATGGGTTCTATACCTAGCATATCGATGGGCTTGGAGAGTGGTGTCGCCGAGAGGCCCCAACGCACTTGGGCGTCAAGCGCTTGCACCATGGACGCGGCCAACGACGTGCCGGCGCCAAGAATGTCTTGCACTTCGTCGACAATAATGCGCTGCCACCGCACGTGGAAGAGCACCGAGGTCGCGCGCCCCCGCTCGCTCTGCTCGGACTGGAAGAGATGCCTACGCGCGCATGAGCGACCGTGCAACGGCTACGATCGTCGACCATTCGAGACCCATGTCGTGCAGCGAGACAAGCACGATAGGCGGCGGGCGCGACGCGTCAAACGACAGCTTCTCGTGCTTGCGCGGGTTGTAGGTGAGCGCCGACCACGTGTTTGGCTCGAAATGCAGCGCCATCTCGCCGAGCCTACAAGCCTCGAAAGCCCGATTTCGGCGACGTGCAGTCGCGTACCATTGCTGGGCGAGGAGCGCATGTGGCACAACAATCAGCGTCGGGTCGGCCGATGGATGCAGCTGCAAACAGCTCAAGGTAGTGAGCGTCTTCCCGAGGCCGGGACCGTCGGCCAAGACGCCACCGCGCAACGACGACGTGGCAGCCTCGCGGCCGACCATCCACGCGAGCGCAGCTTCCTGGTGCGCATGGAGCGTGGTCGACGCCTTGAGGCGCGGAGGCCGCTGGCGCAGCGAGGACGTGGCGCCACGATGCGCGCCAGTGGTCGCCTCGAGGAGCTGGGCTGGGTTCATCGCCGATGGATCTTCTTGCTTTGTGGCCGTTGTCACAACCCCGAAGTTCGAAGAAGGACTTCGAGGTGCACTCGTGCCTAATTAAGCACGAGTGATGGTCTTTGATGTACCTAATTAGGCACGCGTGATGGTCTTTATCCTAGTCCTAGTCCTAAGTGCCACCTTGCCGTTGTCCATACTATTAAACAGGTCCCGTGCGGGGTGAGCTGGTAGGAACTTTTGAATATATATATGAACGTGTTTCGCGCTATCTTCGTTGTTACCGGTACAATGAGTTCGCATACGTAGAGACTAGCAATCTTCTTCTTCATTATTCGTTCACCGGGCCGTGGCTGCGCAGGCGGCGGC